AGTCGCAGAAAATAAAGATGATAAAGAAAAGTTCAAAATAAGGGGATATAAAGAACGAAGCTGTATATCAGAAAAATAAAATTTGAGGTGAAAAGCATTAAAGGGCAAAGAGGTATATTTTACATAGTAGTATTCTCTATATAGAATCATCTATATATATATATATACACACTATTTAACAACATACTATATAAACATAGATCACATATATATTGTTAAATATCATAGATGTATCTTTATATAATATCACTATCATGAACCTTTATGTACTTAACCCATAATTATAAATATAACCTATGGTTAGAGAAATTGATGAATTGACAAAAGCATAATTAAGGAGATTTTGGTACTCTTCTTTCATAAACTGAAAGATCAAGTAGACCTAATATAAGCAAAGAAAGAATGAACAGTTTTGCTCTAAAAGATACATAGAACTTTTTGCACAAGAGAAAATAGGCATTGTTTTCAAGTACCCATGGACGATTAACAAAAACTGTTTATTAGGCTATGAAGAAAATGTCAACAAATTTTAGAAAGTAGATGTCATGCAGGACACATTCATTGTTGACAGTGCACTGAAATAAGAAATGAGCAACTAACAAATAGCCAAAAAAACAAAAAACCAAACACACTATCCCCTTGAAAATCATAAACACGTTTATATAGGTGTATTTAATAAAAGTCTTTAGATTAAAATGGAACTATCAACTGAAATTATAAAATAGCAATGAATGAACATGAACTCATTGTATATAAAAATGTATGGGCTACAACAAAATGCCACTAGGAGGAAAATTTAGACCCTCTACTTTGCTGCCTAGTAGCACTTTCCACAATGATGAAAATGTTATGTAATTATACCATCTGATAATCCACACTTACCACATGAGGATGTTGAGCATGTGAAATATGGCTAGTGCAACTGAACTGAATTTCAAACTTTAATTAATTTTAATTAATATAAGTTTAAATAGCCACATGTGGCTACTGTATTGGACCACACAGTTCCATATTCTCAATAAAGCATTACCAGAAAAAGAAAAAATTAAACATTATTAATTTTATATATATATAAAATTAAAACATTAAACATAAATCCATATGAAATGGATTTGTAAAATGTGTATGACCAAAATTCATTTAAGAGAAGGTGGGAAACTTGAATTTACCATTAATCAGTAAGGAACTATAAAATGAAATGTAAGATCCAGCTCTATAAATGTCTTCAGAACCAGGTTTTCTAGACATGTTTTACCTAAACTTAAGATGCAGATAATTTCTGTGTTTTATAAACTATTCAAGACCATAAAACAATATTTTATTCTTCAAGGCTGGCATAACCCTGATGCCTAAACAAGATAAAGCAATACAATAAAACAAAATTATATCAAGATTCACTTATGAGCACAGATACAAAAATCTAAAGGTGAAGGAATTGAATTCATTACATATTATGAATAGGTTTATCCCAGCAATACCGTGATGGCTTGACATTAGGAAATCTATTAATGTAATTCACTGCCTCTGCCTAACAGATCAAAGAATAAAACATAATATGATCATGTTATACTGAAAAAGCATTTAATAAATATCAACACCCTTTTGTGATATAAAATTCTTAGCTTCCAAATAGAAACTTTTTTAACTGATAAAGGATATTGATCAGAAATCTTCAGTAAGTATCATATTTAGTAGTAAAAACATTTGAAATATTCCCACTAAAGTCAGGAACACGACAGGAACACCTACTATCACTCCTGTTACTCACCCTTGTTTTGGATGTTTTACTCACCCTTGTTTGGATGTTTGACTGTAAAGCTAATGCTTTAAAGTCAAATAAAAGGCATACATTCTGGAAACAGACAAAAGTGTCATTTTTTGAAGGCGGTAGATTGCCTACCTAGGAAATTGAGAAGAATCAATGGAAATATATTGGAACTGAACAGAGAGTACTATAAAGTGCATTACTCGAAGCAAGTTCCTTATACAGAAATCAATAGCACTTCTATATGTCAACTGTAATCAATCAAAAATGTAGTGAGTAAGAAAAGAGATCCCCTTCACAGTGACCTCCAAATGTTGAAATATCCGGGAATACGTAAGACATATCTGGGAATACATACTAGGACATATGCAAAATCAATATGAAAGTCCATAAAACTGAAGCACATAATGGAAGACCCAAATTCTCTAAGATATATACTTCCTAAATATGATGACTTAATATAGCAAGCATATTTTCTAATTAACTGTTAAAATAGAGGCAACCATAATTAAAACTTTAACAAGGTTCCTTGACAAACTGATGCCAATTTCTGTTGGAAGAGAAATTGTTGGAAAATATATAATAACCGAATTGAAAAATAACAAGGAGGGAAACATGCTCTATCAAATATCAAAACACATTATAAAGAGCTAGTAATTAAGCAGTATGGTATTAACCAGGAATAGGCAAATAGATCAGTGGATCAGAATGAAGTCCAGAAACACACACACACACACACACACCTCTACCTGGCATTGTGAAAACTTCGCTCCTGAAAACACTGAGAGAAGGTTAGTCTGTTCAGTAATCCTGTTGGGTCAATTAGTTCTGCATTTAAAAAAGAAAACTGAAAACAGGTACCTACCTCATATTAATGACCAAATAAACTCCAGCTGGGATAAAAAGCTAAATGCAAAAATAAACCCTTAACAGTATTAGAATACTCTACCAAAGCATTTTTTAACATAAACACAAATGGCTTTGAAAACAAGATAAAATTCACTAAAGCCATAAAGGAAACAGTAGATTTGTTACTAAATATTAAATACTTATTAGTGACAAAAGACCTTATAATCAGAATTAAAGGGCTGGGCACGGTGGCTCATGCCTGTAATCCCAGTACTTTGGGAGGCCAAGGTGGGTGGATCACCTGAGGTCAGGAGTTCGAGACCAGCCTGGCCAATATGGTGAAACATCATCTCTACTAAAAATACACAACTTAGCCAGGCGTGGTGGTGGGCACCTGTAATCCCAGCAACTCAGGAGGCTGAGGCAGGAGAATCGCTTGAACCCGGGAGGCAGAGGTTACAGTGAACCGAGATCGCGCCACTGCACTCCAGCCTGGGCGACAGAGTAAGATTCCTTCTCAAAAAATAAGAAAGAAAAGAATTAAAGGCAGAGTGACAGACTGGAAAAAAAAAGTAGTTGACTAATATCCAGACTTTGTATACTCCCACAAAGCAATAAGAAAAATACAAACCACAAATAGGTGAACAAAGGGAGTAAATGGGCATGCTTAATAAATATGTGATAATAAAATGCAAATTGCCACTAAAATGAACAGATACTCTATGCATTCAAAAAATGCCAATAAAAAAGATAAGATTTTTTGCTCACAATATTGACAAAATTTTTTTAAAGGTTAAGAACAATCGGTTTTATTAAGGGTTTGGGGAAATGAGTACTCGTACGTACTGCTTATAGGGATATAAATTTTTGTATCCTTTGGAGTATGCAAAACAAGTGAAAATTTACTTTCTGATTTTCTAGTTTTGATTCTAGGATATATGCTTATTTGCTAAAGATGTATTTATAAAGTGTTCGTCATGGCACCGTAATAACATCAAAACCAAACCCTGGGAGAATGTCTCAATCAATTGTCATCATCGAAAATAAGGAAGACTGGATCACGATGACAGATGAGCACATTCACCCCTGACCCCAACAAATAATAGAAAACATACTCTTATGAGAATAAATCTATAACCACCTGGAAAATGAGAATGTTCCCAGTGAATCAGAATTTTTGAGGAATTGTTGAACTATATTGTTAAATGTAAAAAGCAACTCACTTCAAATAATAGTAACAGCCCATTTATGAAAAGCTACATATGTGTGTATTGTACTTATATGTTTGACACAAAAATTGTCTGGATGGATAGACACCAAACTCTTGACAGCAATTGCTTCCAGAGAAGGGATTGAATTAGGATATGAGAGATGGTAAAGGAAGATTGACTTTTTTATAAAAAGAAGGAAGAAAATTAGGTGAGCAGGTAGAAGTGCCCGAGCTTTGCTTACTTGACTCTTGCCTAGTTTCTTGCACCTCACCTGTTCTTTCCTGCAACCCTCAGGAAACCAGGCTGAAAAGAGAAGGAAGCCCCACGGTGGCCACTTACACCAGCATCCTGCCCTGTGGAGTTGCTTCTTTGCCAAGCTGCCTTTCTCTTTGTACAAGTATTTCCAGCCCCTTCACTCACTCTTTTAGCTTCAACTCTAATCACCTCCCAAATCTGTTTTCTCATACAGATGTCTATGGCCTGGCATTTCCAATTGTCTTCTATTTCCATTAATTTAAGCATCCCCATTCTTTGGCATTTTCAGTGGGTTGCGTTCATTAGCTGTAGAGAATAAAACATAGAGAAATAAAAGGTGAAGAAGGGAATGCTCTTTTTCCTAATTGAATATACTTGAAAATATCTCCAAATGCAAATAGTCTTTTTGGTTCCAATATTGAGGTTTGAATAGCACATACATTCAATTGAAGGGACTATTTCAGTGTTTCTTATGATTTAGGAATTTAAATCTTTCTCTGTTCCCTGAAATGTGTGTTTCACCAAAATAAATCACGTGGGAGAGTTACGACTTTGATCCTTTCAGCAATAAATAGATTTTCCAGCAGGAAAGACTTTTGGGAAACTGAGTCATAAGAACTCTATCATTTAATAGGATAAGAGAGAAGTTTGCAGAAAAACTGAAGTAAAATAGCATTGGTAGGCAAAATGTTTAAAAACAGCATGACCTTCAGATGTATTCACTACTCTAGTTACTGAAGATGTGAAATTAATAGTTCCTGTCCTTGAGCTGCTTACAGGTGACCATCTAGCCAGTCAGACTAGATATGGAGTCAATCGTTGTGTTATTTGTGAGCTTTATTTATCTTATCCTCTCATACATGACATTTCACTATGCCTAGGTAATAATTACGTGACACCTCTGCTTCCTTCTCTTTCAGGCAAAAATAGATGTCTTATTAGTTGGAGATGTCACTGTGGGCTACCTGGCTGATACTGTACAGAAACTGTTTGCAAACATAGCAGAAGTCACCATCACCATCAGTGACATGAAGGAGGCAGTAGCACTTTTGGATGATTGCACATTCAACATGGTTTTCTTGAAGATGCCTTCTTCACTAAATGCTGAGGAGCTGGAAGCCATCAAGTTAATTAGGTAAACTTCAAAAGCCTTGATGCTGTATCTTTAGAACCATTTTTTTAAAAACTCATTTTTTAAAACATCCTAAAAAGATATATTTCTATTTTACTTTTTAAATTGAGGGGCCAGGGCGTGGCTTCATGCCTGTAATCCTGGCACTTTGAGAGGCCGAAGTGGGATGATTGCTTTAACCCAGGAGTTCAAGACCTGCCTGGGCAACATAGTGAGACCTCTGTCTCTACAAAAAAATTTTTAAAAATTAGCCGGGCCTGATGGTGTGCACCTATAGTTCCAGTTACTCGGAGGACTGAGATGGGAGGATTGCTCAGGAGTTTGAGACTGCAATGAGCTATGATCATGTCATGGCACTCTAACCTGGACAGCAGAGTGAGATGCTATTTCTAAAAAAAAAAATGAGGGATATTTTCATGGAGAGATTCTATGTACATGTTGTTTTTATTTCCAGTTTGTGGTATTTTATTATAAGAATTATTTTAACTTGAAAATAGGTATAGATTAGAATGTAAGAATCAATTTGTCATAGAAATTTATTTAGTATGCAACGCTTATGTTATTCCCATACATACTCCTTTTTAATAACTGTATGATTAAAATGGTGCATCTATTCAGGGTCCATTAATTGTAGTGGCAGACACTAAAGGAAGTGAGCACTCTCAGCTCTCTGTCCTGTTAGCTGGGGACTGAGGTGTCTCCTGGGGCCACGGAGCCTTCTGGATTCACTGGGTCCAGAAACCACCCCCTCCAGTGTTCTTGTTTCGTCTTGCAGTTCCATATAAGCTCTGCTTCTTTTCTTTTCTTTTCTTTTCTTTTTTTGTTTGAGATGGAGTCTCACTCTGTTGCCCAGGCTGGAGTACAGTGGCGCCATCTCGGCTCACTGCAACCTCCACTTCCTGGGTTCAAGCAATTCTCCTGCCTCAGCCTCCTGAGTAACTGAGATGACAGGCATGTGCCACCATGCCTGGCTCATTTTTGTATTTTTAGTAGAGATGGGGTTTTACCATGTTGGTTGGGCTGGTCTCAAACTCCTGACCTCATGATCTGCCCACCTCGGCCTCCCAAAGTGCTGGGATTACAGGCGTGAGCCACCACACCTGGTCAAGTTCTGCTTCTTTTTAACCCACTCCAGCTCTAGAAAATTGGAGTCCAGTGGTGGGAGAGTTACATTCTTCCCTGCCACTTAAGATGTATTTAGATAGGGTTAGATCAGAACAAATTTGTTCTCCTTCCATGAAATACTTAATAGATAAAGTGGAATTGTCAGTTACATTGGAACATATGAGAGCTTGTCAGAATTACAAGACAGGCCTCTTTTTTTGGCTAAACAATTCAGAGACAATATTTTGATCCTTGAATAAAAGGGCAAGCAAATTATGTTAAGGGAAAAGAAAGGTTGAAATGAGAAGCCCAAGCCATCGAGTTACTTATTGGAGAGACAGACACACAGATACTACTCTTGGGGTTTCTTAGAACAACTGGTCTGCATTTCTTTTGGCTTTCTATGAGGTATATGAACTCTAGTCACACCAGGCAAACTATCTATGTCAAAGTAAATTCCACTTCTAAAACCTGCTGTATACTATCCTCCTTCTGAGAATATGCTTATTTTATTACAAACCTTAAAAAAATAGAGTTTCCCTTGGCTGTGGACTCATCATAATATCTCATTTATATCATATTTAAAATTTTTTTACACAGCTACATGAGGCAGGTGGAGCAGGATTTTATTGTCCCTACTTGACAGATGAGAAAACTGAGCCTGAAGTGACTTGCCTAAGACCACATGGCTCATTTTTACAAAACTCAGACTAGTTTTACAAAACTAGATTAGAACTCTACTCTTCCCTTCATTTTCTTTCTAGAAGTCTGTCATTAATTGACTTTTGTATTGAAACCACCTCTTTTTCATCTCTGAGGTTCAGTATGTGCCAAGCTGGGTGTACATCAAACATAGATATGGTTTTGAAAGAGCCCTGGACAATTCAATATGGCTGGTCTCTCCATTCCAAGACTAGGACCCTAGCTATGCCTGTCAGAATGGAGTAAAGCTTTGCATTTGCTTCCTGTCAGAGCTGCCTTTTGAACAAGATAAGAATGAATTTCTGTTAAGAACCAGCTTTATGTTTAGTTGCAGATATTAAAACCTAGAAGGTTAGAGGAGAGAATTTCTTGTCTGATACTCACCTCAGCAGCTTTTATTGCCCTGAGTAACATAATTTAAGATTTCTTAGCAGAGAAAAGAAAGTAGATTAAGGTATTAAGTGTATAGCTATGCAAATGGTAGTTCTGTTATTTTGCCTTAAGAGAAATCATTGGTTTGAAAGGAAACAAATAATTTGTGGAATATACCTGGATTTGTATTCCTTGTTTGTCTACTGTTGCACTGTTCCCAACACCCAGTGAAGGTCTTGACTGCCAGCAGGTGTTATCTACCTTGCTGTAGCTCCAGTGAATGTATGGATGAGTGGGAGAAGTGCCGTCCTAGGCAGGCAGTGCCTCCTCGCTTTTTTGCTCCTCTCCGCAAAGGGACAGAGTTGTTTTTTTGTTTTTTTTTTTTTTTCTTTTTTTTTTTTTTTTTTGGTGTGTGTGTGTGTGTGTGTGTATGTGTGTAAGCTTTGCTTTCTTGGTGCTGTCCTCAGAGGCTATGAATATCTCTGAAGTTCCCTTTCCTGCCTTCAGAATCGTTATGAGTTTATGATTTGTTGAATTGTTTAAACCCCTGTAGAGGATGTTTCCAATTTTCAACCTATAGTTTTTCTTATGGTAATGAGCCCTGTACACGTACCGCCACATTTGTAAGGAGTTTAAACCTTCATCTATCCTAAAGTACTACATCTTTTGAGTTTGGGCTAATATTTAATGACTAAACCAAAATGAAAAGCCTGGCTCTACTTTTCTTCTGCTGTATTTTAAAGTTTTCTCTTTAGATCTTTGTTGTCCTCTTGTAATATCTCAAAAGCTATGTAGGTCTAGGAAAATGTACATCTACTTACCTCACTCTTGTTTCTCTGGGTGCTTTATGTCTCCTGTCAATGAATGAGGAATTGATGATAGAATGAAAGTGGCCGTATGTGTGTTCAGTATTGGAGCACAGGATCACAAATCTATGTATCTGTAAGACATATGGATTTTTATTGAAAATAAGGATGAAGTTTAGCCTGTTAGCTATAATATTATATTTATTTTAGAATAAAATGAAAGCAGCGTCCTTAAAAGATTCTTAAATTTAATCTTGCAAAACTGTGTTTTAAGCTTGGTGCTAATCATTCATTGACTTTAATCATTCATAAAATATCAGTACTTAACAGACTCAAGACTTATGGCACATCTCACTTGTAGGTTAACATTCCTAATAGTACTGCCTAATTTGTTTTCATCTCAAGAATGTATTGAAAGAGTGTGTTTTTATTGAGCAGATGAACTCAAACACTACCCAGTGGTAACATATTTTAAGATCATCTTAGGATTCATATGCTTAGCTCCAGAATTCCAGGGATATTTCACTCTTGGCTTAGATAAGTTCTCAAAATTGAGCCATACTCAAAGGGCAGATACTTGATAATTCAGACACATCCTGATACTTACTTCCAAAGACAGGTACAGAAAGTTTAAATATGTTTTAAACTTGTCAGTATATAGGGAGTTATAGTTTTCTTCTCCATGAAATGGTTCTGCAGTTAAAATTCCATGATTCTCATGAGCTCAGAGCAGTTTAGCAACAAAAAAGGAATGCAGGATGTGGCTCCATCTGCTCCGTCAACAAATCAAGTTTGAATCTGATTTCATTTCTTCCCCGTGTAGCTTTAATTGTCTGACCAGCTAACTGATCACTAAGAAAACCCAATCTTGGGAGCCACAGAGATCTAACAAGTTGTCCTTTTATGTCTCCAAGACATCTTTGACTTGACAATGTAAATCATTAAATCTTACTAGGTAGTTTGCATGACCTACTCCTCTGAATATTCGACAATAAACACAGTAACAGCAAAACACCTAAGTAGCTTTACTAAAACCTTTTTCCTACAAATTGGTGGAGGAATTGAATAGGAACTGAGGACAACTCTAGGTCTTTATAACTTCTAGCACCATGTCACATGGGGAGTGTTGCAGCAGGAACTCTGTGGGAGAGCCGAGTGGGAACAGGGCACACCACCAGAATAAACTATATAGCCAAATTATATAGCCAAAATAAACTATCAGAGCTTAATTAATTAACAGAGAACAATATTTGTTACAAGTCCCATGTAGGTCATACCAGGTTAGTTTGGCTGCATGTACCCCACGGACAGAATAATGGGTAACTGTACTCAAGAAAACCACAACCCAAAGATGATACTGGCTTTTGTCCCTGGAAATCCTTATGGCTCTAAGAGAAGTAAAGGTAGAAATTTCCGCAGGCTTCACAGGGACTTATAACACCTCTTTGGCCCTCTCACATGATAGATTGCAGAGGCCAGGGCTTTCCTGAGACCCTTTGATCAGCAGAGTATACAACTCAGCTCAAAACCCTTGTATATGATCTTTGTTTTTTCAGCTACCAGAGACAGACCCAGGGATGGGGGCAAGACAGCGGGTGGTTACTGTTGCTGACTGAGCTGATGCTGACTCCAGTTCTAGAGGGCACTGCAGGCAGGCATAGGAATGGAACCGAGAATATCAGTATCCAATCTCAAAAGTGAGGTGTAGCCTCCGGAAACATCATGACACTTAAACAGCATAATCGTGAAACATGAGGGAAAATGAATTGTCCCCAAATAAATTGCAAAACAAAAGAGACATTAATTGAGAAGGTCTCAGAGCCTACAATTTGATTTTGGTATATAGAAGAGGAAGTAGTATCAATTGGTGTGGATAAAAGTGATTTTTATTTTGGTTTGTTTTTGCATTGCTTAGTTTTATTTCCAGGAATATTCATTCACAAAAAAGAGAACATTTTCTGGTTGATCCTAGAAACTAGAAACTCTTTTAGCTTATTGATTTGTAGGGAATGTGAATGAGCAGCTGAGCTTAAGACCAGAGGATTGGATTCTAGGAACTCTTACTGGTTGCAGGAGTCCCTGTACGGCTAGGGGAGTGTGTGTTTGGTAATTGATTCTGTGCTGATAACAAAAGTCCAAGAATCCCGCCTTTGTCTGATGTAAAGCTTGAAATTTGAAAGTCATCAGGGCATATAAATCCATATAGCCATATCTTACATATTTTTGTGTCAGTAAAATCAATTTTCAAATTTTTGAAATATCGGGTTTTCAAAAATGGACATAGGAAGATTTCTAAAAGCAAACAGGCTGTTTTTTAAAAATCATTTAACTGTATTTAACTTAGGATAATTTACTTTTTTGAATCCACTATGCAGTATTTTTTATTTCGACATTTAAACTACCCGATAATTTTCTTTCAGTGGTCCCATCTGCTCAGTCCTTTATTCCCTTTCACCTCTCTTTCCTCATTCTGTTGTCCATACCTCCATTATAATCCACACTTTCTCATCACTTAAAAATATATATATGAGGCTAGACACAGTGGCTCTTGCCTATAATCTCAATACTTGGGAGGCTGAAGCTGGAAGATTTCTTGAGGCCAGGAGTTTGAGACCAGCCTGGGCAACATAGTGAGAACCCATCTCTACTAAAAATACAAAAAAAACCCAGCCAGGTGTAATGGCACACACCTGTAATCCCAGCTACCTGGGAGGCTGAGGTACAGGATCGCTTGAGCTTGGGACAGTGAGGCTGCAGTGAGCCTTGACCATGCCACCACTGCACTCCCACCTGAGTGACAAAGCAAGACCCTGTCTCAAAAAATAAAATAAAATAAATCTATCTATTTATCTCTTTCTATCTTTCCCTCTTTCCGTCTTTCTAAAATGCATATATTTAGTTTCATATACATATGAAATGCTGACATACTGGCAGGCATCATTCTGATCCCCGTATTCCCTCTGTGTCACCACGCCACCTACACCGGTGTAGGAAGTGCCTTTCTTACCTCCACATTTGGTTGGCCAGGCAAACTCTATCCTCCCTCCTGCATATGCCTATTTTGATGATAATATTTCTGCCTGAGTTTCTCATTTCCTCATAGAAACCGTATATTCTTCCCTTTCTTCTCTCTCAGCCTAAACTCCCCAGAATTCATAGCACAGAATCAAGTCCGAATAGACCTCAATGGGGTGTCACATTTTCTTACTAATCCTGCTAGTCTGAAGTAATTCATTTAGTAAATACTCTGAAATATTTAATGTTACCAAAGGTTCCCAGGTGTGCCCGCTTTCCTTACCATCAGCCCTTGCCTGGATCACTGGCCTAGGGTGTCTCCAGTCCACCTGTGTCACCCCATCAGTGCATCCCATCATAGGCAGAGTGGCCTTTCTAAAATGCAAGGATAATTGTGTTGGTTGCTGCTGAGCTTCATAGCTTTCCGTTGCCCATTTTTCTTCAATACCAAACCTTTCCTGTGGTCTAACAGGCGTTCTGCGAGCAGAGCCCAGCCATCCCTCACTCTTTGGTCTCCACTGATGCTTTTCTTTCTCAGATGCCCTGTGCCAGAGCTCTCCTGGACATCTTGTACCTTCTCCAACTCACCTTGTTCTTGACCATCCCAGGGCTCCTGCATATGCCGTGCCTTTTGCCCAGAATGTTCTGTGCTGCCCATCTGCTTTCTGCCCTCCCCCTCTCCCCAGCCTTTTCTGTGTCTAGCCAGCACTGAGGGTTGTCGGCCTGGAAGCCTCTCCCAAGGCTGCTGAGGCAGGTTGGTGCTCAGGCGTGGACTCCTATTGGCCCCTTTGGTTTTTCCTTCCTGGCATTGGACACATTTTCAGCCATAAAGTTATCTATAGTGATTTGTTTAATGTCTTTCCACCCCAAGACCACCAGCTGTGTGAGAGCAGGAACCTTGTCTGTCTGTTTACCATGATATCCCCCAGAGCCTAGCACAGGGCTGGTACATAAGAGGTTCTCAATATACATGACTCAGATATAGAAATGATATTAATATATAATGCAATTTGAAATATAGAATGTATACTTACTTCCAAATGCTTATGTAAGATAAGCTAACAATGTTATACAGTGGGGGTGCTCCCAGTTCTCATTTTAGTGAATAAATAACAACCATATATAACCACATGCTAATAAATGATGCTTTTAAGTACTTGAGAATAGTTTGCTTTTCTTAGGTAGTTTTAAACTGTTCTCTTTGAAGTCTCTGTCACAGTCACATTCTCCCTGAAAATCATTTCATTTTGGCTAATACCAAGGCTCAGTATCCATCCATTTATTGAATTCCAGACTTACTGTACTGAGTTTAGTGAATTGTAATGCCACTTTAAGAAAAAAGTTTTATTTGAAAAATTTCAAGAAATAAAAGGGGAGAGAGTATAATAATACACCCATAATATAGCCTCAGCAGTTACCCACATCTGGCTCGTCATGCTTCTCCCTACCTTCCCACCCCTGCCCACCAGTGGATTATTTTAAGGCAAATCTAAAATACCGTTTTATTTCATCCATAAATACTTTAATTGGTACCTCTCTAAGGTGAGGACTCAGAGAATAACTACAAAACTCGTATTATACCTGAACATCAATAATCACTTCTTAGTATTGTCAAATATCCCATCAGCATTCAAATTTCCCTGCTTATGATTTTTTTTAAAACTGTGAGTTTATACAAATCAGGATTCAACTTTCCCTTTCCTCTTTTTTTTTTGTCTTGTTCTTTAATTATATGTATATTTAAAGGAGTCATTTGTCTTACAGAATTCCCCCCATTCTAGATTCTGCTTATTTCGTTCCCATAATGTTCTTTAAAATGTTTCTTTTTTTCCACAAATTTTTTGTAAACTGCTGATCTGATCAAAAATTTGGATGAGGTTTAGGCTTTTTTTTGTTTGTTTTTAAGAAAAAGTGATTCATCTCTTTCCTCACTGATTTGAGATGCTACTTTTACTAAATTTCCATGTTAATATTATTTTAAATTCTAAAGAAATGAAGAAAATCACTGTAGTTAGTTCCTAATAAGCTAAACTCCTGAATCCCAATTTTTTGAATAATGATTTTGCTTCATTTTAACATTTTCTTTCCTCTCTCAGATTTGGCAAAAAGAAAAATACACATTCACTGTTTGTTTTTATAATCCCTGAAAATTTTAAAGGTATGTACCTGCTAAATACAGTATTTGTTTTTTCTCTAAATAGAAACTATAAGGTCAGTATTTAATGTAAAGATTCTTAGGTTGTATTTCAGGGCATGGAACTGATATTGCTTTAACTGAACCACTGACAATGGAAAAAATGAGTAATGTGGTAAAATACTGGAAAACATGTCTCTCAAACACAGGTGAGTAAAAAATTTCCAAAGGTTTGAAAATTTGAATTAAAATCTTTGAAAACTATGCTTATGTATTCTGACAAAAACAATCATAAAGGGAGAAATATATATTCTTTACCTGGAAAGAAAAAAACTACATCTTCAGAGGTTTAGAATGTGTTGCCCAAGGGCAAATACAGTGCTGCTGTAGGCACAGGGTTTTGGGCGGGGGGTTGGTAGCAGCATTGTGTCACTATTTTTTTTTCTTTTTTGGTAGCCTAGCTACCATAATTTCTTACTCATTAAAATGGAATTAACTGTGCTGTGTCATTGTGTGATTATCTAAAAGCCAGGGGCACTAACCTACAGTTGTATTGTACTTTCTACTTTGCAAAATACTTGCATATAAATTATTTTGCTTCTTAAAGTTAATAGGGTGGTTGCCCTTTCTGTTTTCGATTTTAGATGCAGAGGATTAATGTCAATGCTTCAATTAGACCTCACATTTCTAAACTCTTTGCCTATTATGTTATGCATATCACCAGTATCTAAACACTTAAACTAATTAAATTAGCTTTCATTTGGCTTGTGAAAGGACAGACTCCAATTACGGAAATTAAATTCTACTGGAATCATTATTGGTCAGTGACTATTTTTGGTCTTTCTAGGCCTGGGATACTAAATACGGAATCTTTTAAAATTAAGATGATGTTAAATTGGGACTGTTGTTGGTCAGGGGGTACAAGGTTTTTTTTATGCAAGATGAACAAATTCTGGGGGTCTGGGATACCACTGTGTGACTATAGTTAACAATACTGTATTGTCTACTTGAAATTTGCTAAGAGGGTAGATCTTATGTGTGCTCATCACCAGAAAAGGTAACGATGTGATGTGATGGATATGTCAATTAACTTGTGTGTGGTGATTATTTCACAATATATACGTATATTATCAACTCAAGTTGTACACCTTAAGTATGTACAGTTTTGAATTGTCAATTATACTTTAATAAAGCTGGGAATTTTTTTTTAATAAAATTAAGATTTTTTTTTCTTAAAATGGTCCTGAAAGATACTTTCTGGATTATCCTGATAATGATTATATGAGATTCAGTGTAACAGTCCTTTTTTAATGTTCTTTTTTAATATTCAGATGAGTGCGTCTGTTTGTGACATTCCAGTGGCTCCCAGCCCTTGTGGTTCTTCCTGGAAATGGCTAACTTTGGTGACCGAGGGCTTTTGCAACCTCTTATTTGGTTCTCGGTGAAATAGAGCAGCTGCTCATCACCTGCCCACACCCTTCTGCTGGTCATGACCATGTCAGCTTCCAGTTGTCTCATCTTTGCTCCGAGGATGAGCAGCTGCAAAAAAGGAAAAAATTTTTTTCAGATGCTATATTTTGACAGTGCAGCTGCTTATTGAAGACTCATGCATGTTTTTTGTCTCCTGACATTTACCTATAAATAGGAACTTGATAAGTAAACTCAGTTGAATGTGTTTTAAGCACACCTGTCACTAAGTGACTAGAATCTGGCTTAAAGGTATCCCGGGGTAAATAATATAGAGTATTTTAGTTTTTGCTTTCTAACCTAGGTGGTTTTATATTTCACAAAAATCTATAAATTGCTTTCAGTTTTAAAAATACTGCTTTGTGAAATCTATTGAGTAAAAGACGACAACTGCATTAAGGATTGGGGCTTGTATATTTGATTAGCATTATCTCCTTAAGTGACTTTAGAAATAAATAGTCCCCCTCTCAAAACTTTCAGTTAAGATTGAAAATGCTGCTGGGCCTGAAGAACCTGGATTGCCCCTGCAGAGGTCTTACAGTGAACACGTGGGATATTTTCCTACTGATCTATTTGCCTGGTTAGTTTTTTGTTCTTTTTCATAATAGCAATATTTTTAGAGAACTTACTGATTGTGGCTATTTTGTGGAAGAGGGGTGCAGCATTTGCTGTACTTAAGAATCCTGAGCTGGCACCATGGGTACACATTACAGAAGTATTCAACTTAATATAAGGAAATACTTCATAAATAATTACATTTGACAACAGGTGAGCAGGTCAAATTGTAAGATAGTGAGTTCCCTGTCATTGGGGAATGTGATCAGTGTTAGAGTCTGTGTTGTCACTAAGCAAAGTTAAATAGCAGCAGTGGTATTTAAACTTCATAAAAACAGTGAAATTCCTCAAACAAAAATTTTACATGGAACCCCAATATTTAAACAGACAAGAGCAGCCTCACCTGATATATACCTACTATTCAGCTTCTTCCTGTTGTCTTTCTTGAACTCATGAACCTATCCCCCGAGTTACTGAAAATCACCCTTTAAAAAGGATTTGGTATCATTTACATACCTCATGTAGCTCTTGGAATCTTCTTGTTTGGTATACAAGGCAAGTTTTAGTGTGTGTCTCTGTGTCTCCTTGTGTTTCTCTGTCTCTCTCTCTCATAGATGTTAGAGCTGGCATTCAAACCTGGATTGGGTAGGCAGTTGAACTGGGAATCAGACCCTTCCAATGCTAGTATGCTTATAAAATTAAATTTTTGTGAATTTCTTCCCTTCACTTTAAGCTGATTTCCAAGGAGGTTTTAAGTGGAGCCTAGGGATACAAAGAATGGACATAACTGCTGAGGGCATGTGTACTGATGATGGTGAGAATTTTAAGTTAGTTACTTCCAGAATTTGTAGAATGTGGCCATCTACTGTTTTGAACAAGAAAGGGACTTGGCAGTCAGTAAGTGTGGTTAAACCAAAGCTGACTTTGGTAACACCGAGATATCAACAATTTTCTTGGTCTTATTTAACATTTTAATCTCAAAGAGGCTTGCTATATTAACCCCTATCTAGGATATGGGGTTGAGAAAGGTTTTGGAAGGTCTTAATTTTCTTATATTACTTGCAACTGCTTTTCTTTTTTAAAAAGTTTTTATGACTACATGGTATGCATGTGCTTTTTGATCTCTACTCATCTTGAATCCTTCTGTCTTCCCTCAGTATCCTACCACTGTAAATACAATTTTGAAATCCAGTTATATCTCTTAGGATAGAGGAAATAGGATTAGTTTGCAAGTTTCTTAGATTAATATATTTTTAAATCAATCAGAATGCCTGAAGAAGTTCTGCAAAAATAGTAGAGCCAGAAAATGTTCATTAAATGACAAATTTTAAAATGGAGGGAACCTGCGCTTTGCTGGTCGGCTTGGACTAGGGTGTATCTTGTCGTTCTAATCCTTTATGCTTTTTTCGTGTAATGTACCTTTCCTTCTAAAGGGTGGATAAAGTCATATAATATGGTGTAGTCATAATTGATGAGGTCAGAATGTTTTAATCCTACTTGTATCTATTGTTACCAATTTATTTTAGAATTTTGATCAATCATTGATTTTAGGATGATTTTGATCATATATTCTTTTGAAATTTTGGAATAAACATTCTGCACCAAGTGTCTAAGATAAGGCGTTTTGACACTTATTTCCCCTTTGTATGAAGCAAGAGATGTAGAGAAGCATCCTTTGTTTAGTATATTGGTACATATTGTTTAATTTTGCCCGACTATTTTCCCCTTTAATGTATGGTATGATTTTCTCTTGTTTCTAGCCCTGAATCTTTAAGGAATGGCAATGGGCTTGAGTTAAATGCTTCGTTGTCAGAGTTCGAGAAAAACAAAAAGATTTCTCTTCTTCATTCAAGCAAGGAAAAACTAAGAAGGTGAATTTTAATATAGCACTTTTAAAGCATTATTCTTTTGTAGGGAGAAATTAATGAATTTTATAATTTTTTTGTAATATTGTTAAAAGTATAAGTGAAACTAGTAAATTTAGCAAACAAATGGATGCCATTCACTCATTCAGCCTTGTAGTCATTCAATAAACAGTTTTGAGTCTGCAGTGCATGCCAAAGAAGCATTGGAGAACTGAGATAAAAAATAAGTCCCTGCCTTCAAAGGTGTTCTGAGTCTAGTGCTCAGACAGACTTTTAAATAGGCTATTAACTAGAAAATGATGCTTTTTAATACATGATGAGAACACAAAGTAAAGACACGTGGAAAGTTTTCTAAGACAGAATAAGGGGACAGCAAAATTTTTCTTGAGATGGCAATAGCTAAATTGAGCTTTTGACACGTTGCAATTAATTTGGTTTGGAAGTCAGGGAAGGGTATTTTACATGGAGAGAATAATAGGTACAGAGGTTGGCAGCCTTAGAGAGTACAGTGAATTTATGGAACTGCATGTATGTCCGTATGGTTGGCCATCAGGTCACAAGGGGGAGGAGGCAAAAGATGAGAGGTAGTAGGTAGGGGCTGGGTATTTCATGCTATGAAATTCAAATTGTAACCTGGTCTGTTGGGCAGTTGTGAAAGGATTTTAGTGAAGGAGTGATATGAAATTTACACCTTAGAATGAACACTGTAATAGATGTCACACAGTGAATTACATCTGGAGGCCAGAAGGAGTCTGTAATAAGAAATGATGATTTCCTGAGCTATGGTGTTAGCAATGAGATAGAGAGGAATAAGCCAATTCTAGATGTATTAACTAGGAAGAATCAGCATGAGCATGGCTAAGGATAAGTGAGGTGTAACTCCCAAGTGGATGGTGACACCATCCGCAGACGAAGAAAGACAATAGAATGGCAGTGTGAGGTAAATGTATTTTTATTTTTAATCTTGTTGAGCTTGAATACCTGTAGGTTTAAATGGAGTGCAGAGTTGGCCCTTTGATTCTAGAGAAAGGTCTAGGCTCAGAGGAATGAGGACACGGCATTTCTTTGAAGCAGTGGACATAGGAATGGATATAGGATGATTGTGGGAAGCACGTAGGGAAGGGACTAGTGGAGAAAAGAACCTTAAAAAGATTCTCAGTAATTAAGGTACAGGCAGCAGAGAAGGAATCCATGGGGAACACAAAGAGTTACTAAGCAGATAAGAAGAATACCAAGAGGGAGTGGTATTAAGCAGACCAAGGGAGAGGAATTTCCTAAAGGAACAGGTGCTCAGGAGTATCATGTGATGCAGAGAGATCAAGTAAGGTTAAGAGCTGGTAATTGACTATTTGTATTGAGCCAGACCTAGATGTCATTGATCTTGGCAAAAATCATTTCATTCGTATGGTTACAGAAGAAGCACCATTGCAGAAAGAAAGACGGGAACACAGATGAAATTAAGGTGTGAAGTATTTGCAAAGGGACTGAGGGTTAAGTACGGGATTTTCATAAGAGACCAGACTTTAATATGCTTATGTTACAAAAGAAACAACTGAGAGAGAGAAAGAAGTCTTGAAGATCCTCATGTTCTAGTTATCTGTGGTTGCATAAAAATTAAAACAAGATTTATTGGCTTGAAACAACCACCATTTTATTGTAACTGCGTTTTTATGGGTTAACAGTTCCAGCAGGGCTCAGCCAAGCAATTCTTCTGCCTACATGACATTAACTGAGGTACTCATAGTGTTCAGCTGGTGGATGTAGTCAGGAGGGTCCAAGACGTTGCATATCTGGACCTTTTACCGGCATGGTTGGAAGGCTGAGCTCAGTGGGGGCTGTCAACTGAAGCCTCCCCCGTTGAGTACTTTTAGGGTCATTGGACTTCTTTCATGGTGGCTCAGGGCTCCTGGAGAGAGTGTTTCAAGAGACAGGAAGGGGGCTCTGCCAGTCTCTTCAGGCCTGTGTCCAGGAATAGGCCCAGTGCCACTTCTACCATATGCTAGTGGTCAGAATCATCACAGGGTCCTCCCAGATCCAAGGGGAGGAACCTAGACCTCACCTGTCAGCGGGAGGAATGTCATATAATTTTAATCCCCCGCAGCTGGTGAGGGGGTGTTGGTGATGAAGTGAGCATCCCTGAGGAGGCAGAAGGCAAGGGAATCCAGAACCAGGTGGAAGAATATCTTCCATGGAAAATGGAGAGGAGGAGTTTAGGCTCACTGTGAATTCACATGAGTTTTTCGATGGGGCCAGATCGGGGAGGAAGTTGAGCAAGTTCTTTGCTGAATGGTCCCCCTCCATCTGCTGAAGATTAGTGGGAAGATGATGGGGTTTGGGCTTGATAGGATGGGATGGTGGATAGGCTACTCTGGCTCTAAAGGGCTTCATTCCCATGACTGCTGCCTTGGCCAGGTCAAGACTTAGGGCCCGCTGGCCAGTGCTGTCCCATAGATTTCACTCATCTGAAGCAAAATGAGAAAAATACAGTGCACTGGGTATTTTTAAAGCTACATATTATACAATTGATATCCTAAGATTGTATTCTCCTTACTTTATTAGGTGTTAAAATAATGTTGATATTAGCAAATGATTATAATGAAATGATGTGAGGAAACATTTATTCCTTGTTTTTTCATTATTTTTCATGTCCAGATCTAATGTTGGGAATCCTTTATTGGTCCCCCAAAGTTATGTCATAGTTTTCTTTTAAAAATTTTAATGGTTGATGAAAATTAAAATCTAAAACTACTCATCTAGTAGACTGAAATGATGCTTTGGGGTTGTTCACATCTGTGGCATTATTAGAAGGACTAGAAATCTTTGTTTCTCAAGAAGAGCTGTGACAAGGACCTCCCCCTTTCTCTTTAGAGATTTGTCTGGGAGCTACCATGAGGTAAACATCATCCCTGATTAGTTTTTGCCTTTCCCTCTTAACCTTTCTGACTATGTCTGTGAATCTGAAATGGTTGCTTCTAGTCTGTTTCTTTTCTTCCTCCTCCTCTTCCCCTCACCTGTTTTACATATGGTTTTGGGTTTTTGTTTGTTTTTAAGCAGTAGGGCAACATGATGTTTGCTAATGTTAAGGAAATGACGGTTCTGGCCAATATTTTTGCACTTGGCAAGTTTTTTTCTCTGACACTTGCATTCTTCTTAGTAGAACATATTAATCAAAATTAGCAAATTGTTACATTCTTAGTGAAATCCCATTCATTATATATTTATAAATACATAAACATGTTTTTTTCTTGTAAAGTATGTATTCTCCAAATGATGTCATCACATTTTTGTGTACCCATGAGTCTGACGTGATGATGGTTTAATAATTTTGGGGGTGTTCATTCACTTGAAAAGAAGGGAAACATTGAGCTTTGCCATAGTGTCCCACAAATGAAGACTTTTCCAGGACTAGACAAGTCTTAAAAATTCAAGAAAGGCAGTTCTTGGAGGGTTTCAAGTTGTATCTGGCCCAGATATCTTTCCCTGTGACTCCTCGTTTGCTTGAGATACATTTGTGCAGAGGAGAGCCCCAAGTAGATATCCGTGCCTTGTTTCCAATCTTAGACGGAAAATGTTGTCTTTTACCGTCACATGTAATGTAAGCTGTAGGCTTTTGTGCATGCTTTTTTATCAGCCTAAAAAAAGTTCCCTTCTAGTCCTAGTTTAGGATTTTATCATGACTGGGTGTAAAATGTCGGTCTTTTCTTCTCTATCTAGTAAGGTGATTATTTCTCCTCTTGTTTGTTAATGTGGTGATTATGACCAATTTTTTTAAATGCAAACTTCACTTTGTCTTAAGGTATAGATAATTTTTATTTATTGCTGGATTAGATTTGCTAATATTTTGTTAACAATTTTTGCATCTGTGTTTATGAAGAATATTGGTTTGAAGTTTTCTTACAATGTCTTTTTCTCAGACTGGTCTTATGAAATGGAAAGTCTTCTGTTTTCTGAAAGAATTTGTGTAGAAATGGTATGTTTGATAGGATTCGACAGCGAAGTCACTAGGCTTGCAATTTTCTTCATGGAAAAGTTTTAATTACATATTCAATTTCTGTAATTATTATAGGACTAAATTCCCTATTTTTTCCTTTTGGTTGTTTTTTTCTGTGTCAGTTGGGTTAATTTATATCTTTCAAGAAATTTGTCCATTTAATCTTAAGTGTCACATTCATTTAACAACATGATCTTATTATCATTTTAACATCTACAGGTCTGTGATGATGGCTGTTTTCATTGCCGGTATTGATAAATTGTATTTTCTGTCTTGTTTCTTGATCAGTCTAGCAAAAAAAGGTTTGTCCGTTTTATCAGTTTTATTGATTTTTTTTTCAGTGAAGCAGATTTTGATTCATTGATTTTCTGTATTAGCTCATTTTTTTATTTCATTGATTTCTGCTCTTTGTCTTTCTATACTTTTTTTTGTTTTGTTTTGTTTTTTGAGACAGAGTCTTGCTCTGTCACCCAGGCTGGAGCAGAGTGGTATAATCTTGACTCGCTGCAACTTCTGCCTCCTGGGCTCAAGCAATTCTCCTGCCTCAGCCTCCCCAGTAGCTGGAATTACAGGCGTCCACCACCGCACCTGGCTAATTTTTGTATTTTTAGAAGAGATGGGGTTTCACCATGTTGGCCAGGCTGGTCTCAAACTCCTGACCTCTTGATCTGCCCACCTCGGCCTCCCAAAGTGCTGGGATTACAGGCGTGAGCCATTGTGCCCGGCCTCTGTACTTTGCTTTTAAAAACAAAAAAAGTCTTTGAAAATGTGGCACATATACACCATGCAATACTATGTAGCCATAACAAAGAATGAGTTCATGTCCTTTGCAGGGACATAGATGAAACTGGAAACCAGCATTCTCAGCAAACTAACACAGGAACAGAAAACCAAATACCGCGTGGTCTCACTCATAAGTGGGAGTTGAACAATGAGAACACATGGACACAGGGAGGGGAACATCACACACCAGGGCCTGGCGAGGGGGTGAGGGGGAAAGGGGAGGGGAGAGCAT